GGTTGCCATACGTCGCAGGCTTTTGACATCTTTTTCACGCAATCTCACGTAAACAAATCGACATCCTTGTCGACTATGGACCTGCGCCCTTGACGGACTTTTTAAGCTATCCACAAATGGGCACGCCATGCTCTATGGAACCATCATTTCTTTCACCCAAAAACCGAACGAAAATAGAGAAGCAGCATGATCAAAGTGCCGCATAAAAACATGTACAAGTAATAAAAAAAAGAAGCATACCTGAATCTTAGCTCTGTCCTCAGCAGAGATATTAGCTCCGCTGATTCTTTGTAACTCTGCGCTTTCTGTTTCAGTGGGAGCATTTGTGCTACGTCTGATAGCATCACGGGCTTTCTGACCTTTCTTGCCTTTGAACATTTTGCGGGCAGCTTCACGCTCCTGATAAACGCATTTGTTTATAATATAGCAAGAAGCTTGAACAAGCTCAATAAACTTTCTCTTGTGGTAGTGGATTTTGGGAAATAGTTTGCGGAAGGCGAAGGTGGTGTAGTGGTACCGTGCGCGTGGTTCTCGGGCCAAACCTGGGATTGCGACAAGGTCAAGCAGACCTTTTTCCTCCGGAGACGGTAAGTTGGTACCAGAATCGCCTGGGAGGACAAGAAGAGTGACTTGTACATCGGGAGCCCCCACAGCGCATTCAGTCCCTTTTTGGGATGCAGTGAGCAGGAATTCGCACTGTTTCCCAAGAAGGGACTGACCAACGGAGAAGGCTTGATCCTTCCTTTATAAATTTCCGGAACAAGTTGGATATTACTTTTTTGTTTCCCAACACAGCATGCACGACCATTACCTTCAATATTTCGCCGATCACTAAGAAACTGTTTATGTCTCCCTTATAAAACACAGGTTTCTGGTGGTACAAGAACTGGATGTCCATTTTGATATATTGTAAGTCGGTTTGAGAGTTGTTGTGAAAGTTGCCATTTGGTCTTTATTGCCAATGAGATAGGGTTTTTCAGTGCAAACGGAATGGCTACCCATTTAGATCTTTGGTTTCCTCCAGATAACGAAACGCACGCCTAGCGATTGTGAAAATTCTTTCGAGAATTTCTATAATCAAAATGTAATGCGTCCAGAACATCATGGGACGATCTATTATAATAACCACAGCGAGAGGTGTGGGGACGATGAAGTGGAAAAAAAACAAAAGACAATATCCAAACTGGTACAAAACAAACTAACCGCTAGCCTTATACGTTTGAAATCGATAACACGCACTGATGGCAACTTGTAGATGATGTAAGCACGATAATTTGGTTTGTGGGTTAATGGATTTCCGATGAACCTAAAGGCAAACCATGAAAACAGAGAAAAGGGCAATAACATTTTTTTTTGTAATGAGAACACTCACGTGATATATTCCAACTTCTTGCAATTGGCCAGTGGATCAATGTCACCCAATTCAGTAATATTGTTGTTAGTAAGAGCCAAAATTTTCAAGTTTGGCAGCTTCTCTCCAATGTCCGGCTGTATGTAGCTGAAAAAGCATGTTTTAAAAACAACCACAATCTTAATTACATCTTTTGACTACAGAATAAGGTGGGCAAGCGGTTCAAAATTATGCCATAGTCAAGCGTACATTTCAGTCGTTTTCGTTGGTGGGATTAGTCAGGGGTTAGGGTTTGGCACGACGCCATCCATTCTCCATCAATTTTCAAAACGGCAAGCAACAACAATTGGTGGGAAACGGGCTGGCGCCGGGCCATACATCCCCTTGACAAGCCCCAACGCCTCCGGAGAAAAAAAACGGCACTATTTACCCTTTACTGCCCCAGCCATCCGAAATCAGGCCAGTTCCTGACCGACTTTTTTCTCCGTGGGCAGAATTTGCTGAAAACTTGGCTCCAGGGGTAGTTCGACCCGCTGAACACGAATATCGCATCCGCTTGACCCGAAACCTCCTGGCGCCCGCGCCAAAATACTCGAAATCACCAAATTCGCTGAAAACTTGCTCCCAGGGGTAGTTTGACCCCCTGAACACGAATATCACATCCGCTCAACCCGAAACCTCCTGGCGCCCGCACCACGGGCACCGGCGCCAAAATACCCCAAATCATTGGCGCCTGTGGCGCGGGGGCTGAGCGAATGTGATATTCGTATTCTGGAGGTCAAACTACCCCAGGAGACAACATTTGAGCAAAATCTGCCCACGGAGAAAAAGTCGGTCAGGAACTGGCCTGATTTCGGATGACTGGGGCAGTAAAGGGTAAATAGTGCCAAAAAACTATATTTTATTCCACCATTGGCGCACCTTGCGTCCAACCATAAACAATTCGGATTTTCAGTTTATGAATTTTAGGTGTGGGTGTAGATGGTTGGCCATTGAAAGCGTACCACCTTCTAAAAAAACTGAACATTACAAACACTTACTGTACTCTGTTGTTGTGTAAATACAATGTATGTAGCCGTTTTAACAATGGAATGTTGTCCAGTCTCTTGATATCGTTGTCTGTCAAGTCGATAACATCAAACTGATCCTACAAAATAGTTACATGACCATTATTTCGTCAAGAACACCGAAAATTTGGGGAAAACTGACTTACAGTAGAGCTCCCGCGAAAGAAATCGTAACACAACCTTACCTTTGTTACTCCCATGTTTTCAATTACCGGTATTTTATAACCGCGCAAATTGAGTTCACGTTCTCGTACTGTGTTTATGAACTGTGGTGCGCTATCGATCAATTCCACCGTCAAGCGGACCATGACTTCCTCGTGCTTCAAATACTGGTTAGTGAGAGTAAATAATGAAATAAACACAACATCAAATACAGCAAATAAAGCACTTGGTGATAACCAAATATTCCACAACAACATTTAATAAGCTTGTTTATCACAACACTGTAGACCCATTAACAATTAATTACATGGGCGCGTTTGGCCTTGGCGGGAGGGCCTTTGCTGCTTCCTAGCGATTACTGCCGATGCCTCCTGTAAAGACCTGCAAACTCCAGCAGAACTCTGCAATAACACCACCTTTCTTTACACTTAACAAGACTCCACCGGGATGAGTCGTACAAGTTAACAAGACTAGACAAAGAAACCAGCAATGTAGAGAAATGCCCGCCCCCCCCCCACCCAGCCAAACAACGCCATTACCTGTTGAATAGTAAAGAATACTAATTATCAACGACGATACTTTGAGAACAAATCAATCGCTACGCACTTTAGTTTTAAGCATTAACGTGGGGAACTAAGGGAACTAAGAGGTAATACACATTGATCATATAGACGAATCTCGGTCAAAGCAGCCCGTAGGAGTTAGCTAGGCCTGTACAAAAGAAAAAGCTAACCTATGTTAACATTCTAGTAACACATACTTCTACAATAAATAAATTGGCAGAAGCAAATAAATACAAACAAATTTGCGGTAAAAATCTTCAAACAAAGATAATTATTGCAACAAAAACTGCGCACATGATAAAGAAGAATCCCCATTGCTTGAGAAAACCTCCAATGCTGTAAAAGGATGAATTTATGAAAAGGCGTATCATGTTTCCCAGAAGGAAACCCTCACCCTGTAAACTTTCCATAGATCTGTATGTACAATGCCAGTTTCACCATGTTCCAGCTGTCGCATTCTCCATATCGCATCGAATTGAGAGCAAGGGCCACATGGGAGTGACAGTTGTCACAGCAAATGTTATGCTAAATTTCAAGCATTCATGCAAGTCTCTTCAATCGAACTGGCAGTCTATTTTTGTGATTTGAAGGCATGCCCGAGTTAAAGAAAACATGAGGAGTAGTGCAACTCAATTTCTGATGACAAGGAGAAAGTTAATCAGCAGTGAATAAAAGCAGAAAAAAAACTGCCGTAAAAGCCCCATTTGGATCCCTTTGCTGAACCACGTTCGTATTTGCATAAGACGAAGAAAGGGCGTGGTCGGACGACTTCTCATTCCCCTTTCCTTTTTTCTTTCCGCGCATTCCTCCCGTATTTCTGAGCTGTGTAATTACTACGTACTCCACCCTTACAGAGAGGGCTACCATATCCGAAGAGGACGCCGGAACATCAAGTAAATGTGGGGTGCGCTTTTGAAGGGGCTCTCTTTAGACAAGATATCTTCCCCGCAAGCTCGAAAGTGCGAGACGAAAGCGCGACCCGGTTGCGGCGGAACCACGGCCCCACCCACTGGCCGCAGTGACGCGCAACTTTCATTTACCAGCTACTTGATGGTGTGGTTGTTCTGCTACATCTCTCCATTTCGAATGGAGAGAGTGAGGTGATAAGGCAAAGAGCCCACAGCAACAAGCGAGGGCTCATGCGACCACACCCATCCTTCGCTTTATGTGCGTATAAGCATGCTACGGCATGGGGTTCTATGTGGGGCATTACAGGGTGGTTTTGTCTGCTTTTATTTCACTTCTGCCTTATTTGTCACCAGTCGGCTCGCCGGCTAGCGCCGGCGCGCCCCCTTCTGATACGGCCCGGCTGCGCCGGGCGAGCGCGGCTT